AGAGAGAGAGTGTGTGTGTGTGAGAGAGAGTGTGAGTGTGTGAGTGTGTGTGTGTGTGTGTGTGTGTGTGTGTGTGTGACAGTGACGTCCTGTAAGGGAACGAGCACGTGTGTCATCATTGTGCCTCGCTGATGTTAGACTGACAGCGGCAAGAAACCAAAAATGTAGCATTGCATCAGTGTCTCACTGCAAGTGAATGGGTGCCGTCAGAATGAGAGTCCAAACAGCTGATAAAAACATCACAATAATCCACAAGTAATCCACAGCACTCCAGTCCATCAGTTAACATCTGGAGAAGACAAAAGCTGAAACAAATCCAGCATTAAGACGTTTTTAACTCAAATACATAGAGTCCATAATCCATAATAACGCTTCCTCCAGTGAAAACTGTTCCTTTAACGGCGTTAGAGCAGCTTGAGGAGTGTGATGTTGATTTCCGTGTGTGTTTGATGTTTTGGGTGTGGTTCAGGTGAGTTCTCCGGGGAAGGCGTTAAACCTGTATCCCTCTAACGAGTACGAGGTGTTACCGAACGGCTGTGAAGCGCACTGGGAAGTGGTCGAGCGGATTCTCTTTGTCTACGCCAAACTCAACCCGGGCATCGCTTACGTTCAGGGCATGAATGAGATCGTGGGTCCCATTTACTACACCTTCGCCACAGACCCCAGCAGCCAGTGGAAGGGTGAGGCTTTGACTGCTGTCTGTAGTGACGCCCTGTAAGGGAACGAGCACGCGTATCATCACTGTCCCTGTTAGACCGATGCGACTGGGTGATTTAATGGTGAATCTCTCTGTTAATACAATAAATGCATTGTGTTACAAAGAATAACATTATGGATCGTGAGATAATAAGTTGTAGTAAAATGCGTCTGAACAGCACGATCACCCAAAGCGCTCACAGATCTGATTGATCAATAATGAAATCTGCTGTTGTTTTCTGATGGAGTGTATCAATGAGTGGCTGCAGCCTGTTATGAATGAGACACAGACACGTTCATCAAACACTGTTCTTCTGTCTGTAGAGCACGCGGAGGCCGACACGTTCTTCTGCTTCACCAGCCTGATGTCCGAGAACAGAGATAACTTCATCAAAAGCCTGGACGACTCTCAGTGCGGCATCACCTTCAAGATGGAGAGCGTCTTCTCCAAACTCAAGGAGAAGGACACGGAGCTGTACCTGAAGCTGGTGAGGATCAGGATGAGGCTAACGCTCTCGCTTTAACCGCACGCACTCGCTGACGTCTGTGTGTGTGTCGCAGCAAGAGCAGAACATCAAGCCGCAGTACTTCACCTTCCGCTGGCTGACGCTGCTGCTCTCTCAGGAGTTCCTGCTTCCAGACGTCATCCGGATCTGGGATTCGCTCTTCTCGGATCAGGAGCGGTTCGAGTTCCTCATCCCTGTGTGCTGCGCCATGCTCACGTAAGATCTGGCAAGCCAGAGGCGACAGCGGCAAGGAACCAAAACTCCATCGGTGACAGAATGGAGAACAAACCTTGGGAGAAACCAGGCTCAGCCGGGGGCCAGTTCTCCTATATCTCGTAATTCTGACTTTATAACTCTGAGAAAAGAATTGTGGGAGAAAAAGTCACAATTACCTTTTTTTATTTTGTATTCAGCGGTGGAAACGGGTTCCATAGAGTGAGCTCAGCACGATCGCTCAGTCAAAGTCTCAGCTCAAAGATCTGATCAATAATGATATGCAATGGTGTTTTTTTATGTATTCTATCGATTAGTTGTGCATCAAACGAGGTCAGAGATGTGTGAACGCTGAAGAGAGAGAGAGAGGACACACATTTAGCATTTTAGCTCAGCATTTCCGTCTAATCAGCCGATATTGTCTTTAATAGCCTGCAGCATAGCACTTCATCTTTTATAACATGATTCTGTACAAATATATTCAATCTGGATTTTTGTCAAATCTTGCAACAAGATGTTAAAAATGGGGTTTTTTTGGTAGCAAATTACAGTTTTTGACATATATGGTAATAAGAAATATTAAAAAATAGCTTAAAGTAACTACAGATGAGCATGTAAAGCAAATATCTTTAAAGGAAATTCCGTGTGGAGCATGCCCTCGAGCCACACAATCTTCTCACCTTTTTCCTCTTCTGGGATCAGAATCAGCCGAACCCTCACGCTTCACCTCACACACTCCATAACTGTGTGTGAGTGTGTGTGAATGTGTGTGTGTGGGAGCGCGTGTGTGTGTGTGTGGGAGTGTGTGTGTGTGTG